GTTACTGAGGGCCAACAGAAATTGTTACTGGACACAGAATCGTTAGGGCCACAGAATTGTTACTCGCACAGGCAGACACAGAATTGTTACTCGCAGGGACACAGAATTGTTACCTTGTTACTGAGGGACACAGAACTGTTACTTAGGGCCACAGAATTGTTTACTACAGACACAGATTAATTGTTCCTCGCCACAGACACAGAATTGTTACTCAGGGACACAGAACTGTTACTGGAGGGACACCACTTTACTCAGAACCGTTACTTAGGGCCATTGTTAATCAGAATTGTTACATTCGCACAGACACAGAATTGTTACTGCAATGATTTTGTTACTGAGGGACACAGAATTGTTACTCTACCACTAGGCCACAGAGAATTGTTACTGAGGGCTACACAGAAGGAATTGTTACTCGCAATGGGACACAGAATTGTTACTCAGGACACAGAATTGTTACTCAGGGACACAGAATGTTTAATTAAAGAGTATGGTCAGACAAACATGCAGAGGAGTGGCAGAGGATGGCAATGTTTTAGGAGCGAAGCAGACGTAGGCAGCAGAGGAAGGAGGTCGATGGCAGCAGAAGGGGTTCGACGGCTAGCCACTAGTTCGCAGCCAGAGGCCAGTGCTCCCGGTGTCATTCAGCGGTCGTGTCTCCACCGACAACCCTGCCGTCATCGATTGGTTGGCTCGGTCGTCTTCCTCTTCCCAGGTCACCTCTGACACCTACAGCCAACGGTCGGTGGGTACGTCAGTACACACAACCGTTAGTTGTTGGCATGGCCCGGGACACCAAGCCCACTGAAATCACGTGTCCTCTTATCGACCTGCCCCCTGTCCTTTGGTGTTCCCTCACCAAGCGAAGTATCGCATGCTGTGGGCTCAGCCCCACTGTACAGTGAGGAAGAGCTAACAGAGGGCGGTCAGGAACGGGGGGGGGGGAGACATCCGCCTTTTCAGCAGCCAGGCGAAGAAGTAGTGGCGGAGGAGAGTGGCTCGGTAGCCGGTCTAGAGACAGGTCTGTCTCCTGACCCACACGCAGCGCAGCCGACGAGGGGGGCTAGTAGTGAGGCGGAGACCCTACTTGATGATGAGGAGGTTGATCGTTACACTTGGCAGCCTCGTCGTCATCAGGCAATTTCTTCCGCATCATCAGGAGAAAGAGGGTGGCCAGCTTGGCAGTGAGCAAAACAGTCGGTGGGTTGCCCAGGGAGGCAGCAGCAGGGTCGTGGAAGCAGTGTCAGTGGAGGCCAAACGGCCACGGGAGTAGAGCACCAGCTCCACTGCAGCCTACCACCACGGCCCAGTAGTGGTGCCGGTGTGCACGGAGGAAGCAGCAGTCAGCCAGTGAGGAGTATCGGGGGCAAAGTTTTCCTACTCGGCGGTTTTTTGTGTGTGGCAATTTTTCGTCAAGCCCGCCCGAGGAAGTAAACGTAGCCGTATGTCGACTAGTGGCCAGAAAGTCAAGCGTGGCCAGGGGGGCCCATGTTGGGACTACAGCGTTGCGGCAGCATATGCAGCGTCGCCATTTGGTGGCCTGGGAAAACCGTGATAAAGATACGGCGGTTCTGCCTGCCCCAGCCCCCGCTCCATCACCCGCTCCGTTACTTGCTCCGTCACCCGACGTCAATCGCCCTCTCATCAGCCAGTCAAGGCTCCAACACCTCTGCTGAGGGGAGTTGTCGCTCGTTGGCATCTTCCGCTCGTTCAGATGCTCCTTCTCCTGCTACTCCTCTTCACGGATTCCGTCAGCAGTCTTTCTTGGAATCCGTTTCCAAGAGACAACAGTTTGCGAGCACGCACCCGACGAGTGTGCAAAAGCTGAACGTCCTCCTGTCCAAGTTGCTGGTGCTGCAGTCCCTCCCTTTTCCAAGTGGTGGACTCAGCACCTTTCCCAGAGAAATGATGGCTTGTGCCCGCGCCGCGGTGGAGAGTGCCAAGCCGTCATTTCTTCGCCAAAAAAAGGCAGTGCTCCAGCCCTGCATTCACATGTAGGAAGAAGACATGGTGGGCCAGTCTTTGAGCATGTCGGTCTCTGCCAAAGTGCACGGCGATGCGCCGACGTGTGGAGCTGTAACTACGGTCAGGGACAGTACATGTCATTTTACGGGCCCACTGGGTGAACGAGTGGTGCCGTCACAGCCGCACCAGCAACTTGGACAGGTCCACTAGCCGACCTTATTGCACGCTCCACGTTTGCACGTCCTTGGTCCGGCAAAATACATGTTCCGTGCCTCTACCACCTCTTCTTCCGCCGTGTCCTCAGCCGCCACCCGCCCCGTGCACCAAGTCCCTATTACCCGACCGGCATATCACACATGCGTGCAGGGCGCAACGGTGTCACGCTGTGCTGCACCTGGTATGCCCTTGGCGAACGTAGTCACACAGGGGAGAGAACTTCTGAGTGTAATGAACAGAGAAATCGACAGATGGCTGTCTCCCGCGCAAACTGAAAATCGGAACCATGTTTGACCGACCAACGGAAAGAACATGGTGTCTGCTCTGCGTCAAGGAAGGTTTGTGCCATGCCCATGCATGGCTCACGTGTTCAATCTGGTTGTCAAGCGGTTCCTAAAATCCACCATCCCACTGCAAGACATCCTTAAAATGTCACGTAAACTTTGCATGCATTTCAGCCATTCCTACACCGCAAAGCACACCCTCCTTGAGCTGCAGCGGCAGAACGGAATTCCACAGCATCGCCCTGATCTGCGACGTTGCAACAAGGTGGAATTCAACCCTACACATGTTAGACCGCCTTTACGAACAGCGAAAGGCCATCACCGATTTCTGATGTTACAAGCGGATAAAGGTACTCCCCTGTGTAACTTCGATGTCAGCCATTGGCAGCTCATGCGTGACACCTGCCGCTTGCTCAGGCCCTTTGAGGAGGCCACGCTATTCGTGAGTCGGGCAAGGACTATGGGATGAACGACGTCATTCCTCTGTTGCACGTCCTGGAAACAAATGCTGTTAACAATGGCTGGTCAGGGTGCGGTAGACGTGGCGCACAGATCTCAACGCCACATGACCCCTGTGGGGGCCAGGACAGGAAGAGAGAGGAGGAGGTAGTAGGAGGAGGACATCAGGTGCTCAGGAATTATTGAGTGAAATGGGTGGTTTTTCCACTCAGCGGACAGGGGAGTGGAGGAGCAGGAGCATCTGGTAGAGGAGGAGGAGGAGGAGACAGAGGACCCCCAGACGCACCGTGGCAGTATGCTGTGGAGATGGAGGCAGGGAGTCCTCGCATTCCTTGGCACAAATGGCCCATAGCATGCTCGGGTTGCTTGCGTTAGCGACAGGCCGAATAATAACCATCAGACAGAGGGATGACTTTTGGCTGTCCACCTTGTTGGACCCTCGCTACCGTTCAAAAAATGGTGGCCTTTTTCACACCTGCTGAGAGGGAGGCCAAAATAACGTACTATAAAAACCACCTATGTAGTCAGTTGGTCTCTGCCTTTCTGCGCCAACGTCCATCCTCAGACACTGTGGGCCCCTGTGCGTGCGCTCGCGTTCCGCTGCCATGGCAGCAGGGGAGGGGTGGGGTGGTAGGAGCAGTGGCAGCTCCACCAGCAGCGGCTGCCTCAGTCTGCAGTCGATGATGAGTAGCTTTCTTCACCAGCGCAGTGAGGAAACTACTAACCAGCCGCAGCAGCAGCAGCAGCATCAGGTGGACCTGGAGCAGGACCTCAAACAAACAGGCTTGGGCCTACTTGGACAGCACCCTGCCAACCGAGGTAGACAATCCCCTTGACTACTGTGCAACGAAACTTGACCTTTGGCCCCAACTAGCTGAATTTGCCCTTGAAAAGCTGTCATGCCCGGCCAGTAGCGTGGCATCGGAGCGCGTGTTTAGTGCGGCAGGAGGTATTGTAACTCCGCGGAGGACACGACTGTCCACGAAAGTGTGGAGAGACTCACGTTTGTGAAAAATGAATCAGGCGTGGATTAGTCTGGATTTCAAACCACCAGTTCCTGACACAACTGACTAAATCCGCCATGAATCATGCCCCAAACATGTTATTATTTTTAAACATAGGCCTCTGTATGGCCTTCAATTTAAGCTGCTTAACGCTTCGCCACTCTGCCATGGGCCCCTGTACCGCCTCCTCTTTGCTGCTGCCAGGTCCAGAGTGTGTCATGGGTCCCTGTACGGCCATCCCATTGCTGCTGTCTCCATCGCCACACTCTGCCATGTGCCACTTTCAGGTCTCCTCACACTGCTGGTGGGTTCCATTTTGTCATAGGGTTGCTGTATGGCCTCCCATTGCTGCTGCCAGGCCCGTAATCTGCCATGGGCCCCCGTACCGACTCCTCATGCTGCTGCCAGGGCCGTAATCTGTCATGGGCCCCTGTACCGCCTCCTCATACTGCTGCCAGGTCCAGAGTGTGTCATGGGTCCCTGTACGGCCTCCCATTGCTGCTGTCTCCATCGCCACACTCTGCCATGTGCCACTTTCAGGTCTCCTCACACTGCTGGTGGGTTCCATTTTGTCATAGGGTGCTGGCAATTACGGGCCTCCATTGCTGCTGCCAGGCCCGTAATCCGTACCGACTCCTCATGCTGCTGCCAGGCCCGTAATCTGTCATGGGTCCCTGTACCGCCTCCTCATGCTGCTGCCAGGTCCAGAGTGTGTCATGGGTCCCTGTACGGCCTCCCATTGCTGCTGTCTCCATCGCCACACTCTGCCATGTGCCACTTTCAGGTCTCCTCACAGTGCTGGTGGGTTCCATTTTGTCATAGGGTGCTGGCAGATTTTCGGGCCTCCCATTGCTGCTGCCAGGCCCGTAATCTGCCATGGGCCCCGTACCGACTCCTCATGCTGCTGCCAGGCCCGTAATCTGTCATGGGCCCCTGTACCGCCTCCTCATGCTGCTGCCAGGTCCAGAGTGTGTCATGGGTCCCTGTACGGCCTCCCATTGCTGCTGCCAGGCCCGTAATCTGCCATGGGCCCCCGTACCAACTCCTCATGCTGCTGCCAGGCCCGTAATCTGTCATGGGCCCCTGTACCGCCTCCTCATGCTGCTGCCAGGTCCAGAGTGTGTCATGGGTCCCTGTACGGCCTCCCATTGCTGCTGTCTCCATCGCCACACTCTGCCATGTGCCACTTTCAGGTCTCCTCACACTGCTGGTGGGTTCCATTTTGTCATAGGGTGCTGTATAGCCTCCCATTGCTGCTGCCAGGCCCGTAATCTGCCATGGGCCCCCGTACCGACTCTCTCATGCTGCTGCCAGGCCCGTAATCTGTCATGGGCCCCTGTACCGCCTCCTCATGCTGCTGCCAGGTCCAGAGTGTGTCATGGGTCCCTGTACGGCCTCCCATTGCTGCTGTCTCCATCGCCACACTCTGCCATGTGCCACTTTCAGGTCTCCTCACACTGCTGGTGGGTTCCATTTTTTCATAGGGTGCTGTATGGCCTCCCATTGCTGCTGCCTCCACCGCCACACTGTGGCTCCACACTCTGGTTTTGGCCCCGTGACTGCCCAAATGAGTGAAGTGTGCGGTGATTCTAAGATCGACGGCACTCATCTGCATGTCATACTGACTGACAGTATTATTTTCTCTTCCCCAGCAGACTCCAAGGGCATTTAAATTAAAGGTACAGTGTTCTGCACTAATATAAAGGCTCTCTGAAGCCTAGAAACACCCTTTTTATAAGTTAAATTTGCAGCGAATATATTCGACTCAAATCGAATTATTCCGCGAATTCGCCGAATCGAATTTTTGAATAATTCGCTCATCTCTAGTGATCACTACACAATGTAATTTCTGCTTTGGATGCAACCTTCTGCCCCTTGTTCTGCACAGTGTCATTTGCTTTTGAGCGATTGATCATGGGAATATTTTATGCTCAATAGCCTACGATTAATTCGTATTTTTTAAAGAGGTCTGCATGATATAAAATATTAGAGATTCATTTAGAGTGTGAAGAAAAAAATTAGGAGAAATATTTTAGAAACAATTGTTTACACACATATACTTCAGTACATTTATAGATCTGATGGTGTTCTTATCAGACTAGAGGAGGGCTGTATGGATAAGGTGCTAAATAAGTGCAATACCTCCATTGAGGGGAACATTTTGAAGTCAGGCACAATTGTCATCTGATGTTTTCATTTATATAATTATTTGAACATATTCTAACATGAGAGAGATCATTTTTATAAATGCAGCCAGTTTATGATAATTTAGTGTTTTTGTAAGTGGGTGTTTCTAATGTGAGGAAGATGGCATCTGTTGCTACAATAAAATTGGATTACAAAAGCCCTAACAAAGTCCTTCTTTAGTGTAAATGAACGCATATGGAAATGATTTTTAATTGAGCAATTTAGTGTGTTTATATTTTAATGATCATTTTAACTGCACTAGTATTCTGTCTGCATAGAAACTGTGGGACCAATTTCCAAATACCGTTGTAGCAAAGAAAACGGAACAGGAGTAGCTGCACAAAGGGACCCATTTTGGTTTCAGCTTGCAGAACTAGCAAGGAACCCGATAGCTATGGGCACTTTCTTAAATAAAGCGAATGTAAAAACAAATATTATTTTTGCCCATTCCCTTACCCCCCCCCCCCCCCCCACTTTTTTTTTTTTTTTTTTTTTTTTTTTTTACCATGCAGGGCATTATAGCACTTATGCCAAAGTGTAAGATTGCAGTAAACTGTCAGGAACTATCTCTCAATATTCTTTGCTTTGTGCTAGCACAAAGTGTTGTCACCTAATTGGTTGAAGTGCTAGGACAAGCTTTATGCAGCATGACTTCTCAGCAACTGAGATTTCAGGAGGAGGGCTAAATCCATTACTGTTAAACTACTAGGATGCTTATTTTTTTCTACCATGACCATTTTAGATACAGACATATATAATTTATGTTCTAGCCTTTTTTTCTAGTTTTAATCAATTTGTGACGTGCTTGGCAATTGTTTGGACAGTGGATAAACATGATGATCAGATAAACCATGTAAAACTTGTGTCCAACCTAAAAGGTTGGTGCACATAGGGCCAATATCAACTGTTTCAACAGAAATCAGTCAACATTCAGACCGTATAGACAGCAGCCTGTCTGACAGAAGCGGGGGGGGGGGGGGGGGGGCAGTCCTCCTGTCAGAACGCCATAGTTCACCGGGGGTGGTTGCAATACTAACATTGCATCGTTAACATGGTTTTTTTGAGGGTTTTTTTTTTTTTTTTTTCTTTCATTCAGTCCACTGGGTTGATGCATAAATCGGGCTATAGAGTATGCAAGTTTCTTTCCTGCAAACATGTGTTCAAGGAAAGAAAATTGCTTGACTCTCTCCCATCAACACAGTCTGAGTTGATGGGGGAATCCTTCCCCTGTCCCTGCTAGGACAACATAATGATTACTGCTAGTGGCTATAACTGCAGGCAATAATCACATGATAAAAAAATCTGACATGCTGTTAGTACCCAATGGATCAATGTATTGACTTGGATAAAATCTGTCTGCCCTTAGATGGATCGAATCTTGGCCGGTCTTTGCTGAACTGGCTAAGATTCTATCCATCTATAGACAGCTTAAGCCTACATCAAAGCTGTATCATTCTGATCTAAATGTGAATTTGTTGCCAAATTCAGTATAACTGGGGTCTGTTCAAGCTTATGTGTGGGTGTCTCAGAGGTGTTTTATGGCAATTTTGGCCATCTGCATTAGTTTTGCCTAAATTCTGTACTTCTCTAATTTAGAGATGCTCCATGATTCAAGCGGCTTAAGTGCAGCTTAACAATAATGTCCCCCAGACTGCGTTGATCTTAATGATCTTGTTTTCCATAGACGATTCAGTGATATATCCATCACAAACGTCAAAGGAGAATAGCTCCTAGATGTAGAAATTCTTGGTGAAAAGATCTTTTTAATTAGTGTGCACTTTCTGTAGGTGAACGATGTACTGACTGACAGGGCTGTCTCCCTAGAGATTCCATAGAAATCAGAACATTTCAATTTTCAAGCATACTGTGCCACTGTTCAAGAATGTATTCTATGCAACCGGCATAATCGCTTGTCAAGGCATCATCATATTTTTTTTTTTTTTTTTTTTTTTTTTTAACAGGCCTGCTTAGAATCTAATTCACCACAATTTCACAAATCCTTATCTTTGATAATTATCTTAGAATACTCTGTATTTACATCCAGGCCAGTATTGTGTGCCACAGTTTTCTCAAGGATGCACCTTAAAATTTTACTGGAAAGTCTTTTAGTGTAATAGGTGTTTTCATCATTGATCTGTGTGTGTTATGCCCGTGGTCAGAAAATAACTCCCTTTCAAAATGTTTCCTTGTCGTGGTGTTGTTTGTTTTTTTTCATAGCAATACCACTGATTGTGTTTTTGTGTTTTTTTTTGTTTTATTTTTGTTTGTTTTTTTTTTTTTTTGTTTTTTTTAGTTCTACAGAATTGGTTGCCTTATAATGAAAGTCACATCTGTTTAATCTATATTCCCAGGACAACAGAATCTCTCTCTGATGGATATTCTTTTAAGCGCACCCAAAAGAACATTGACCACTGTCCCATTGGAAGTTTGTTTTATAATAACACACTCTGTTTTACTTACGTGTTATAAACGTAATGGGATTCATTAGAATATCCTATATAGTCCTTTTGCTAACCACACACAAAACGAGTGCTAAAACCAAGATCTAGTCTGTTTTGCATACCTCCCAACCCTGGAGGGTTTTGGGACAAAAAGAGAAAACGTGCTGCGGAAACAGTGAGTGTGGCTACATTGTGCTGAATATTGGGCATGGGTCTTGAGCCTAATTAGTAAAACTACTTAGTATACACTGTACATAGTCCAAAGTCCTTGTACCCACAAAATAACCCAAAATTATGCTATTCGTGAGAGCCCCACAGACACACACACAAACCTAAAGGATAAAAAAAAAAAAAATTTAAAGTGAATACAGACAGAGCTGACACTTTGAGCCTACCCTTATGGTTCAATAATTTTGTATTGATTTTTACAAAAACCTATTAAAGGTTGCTGTCAAGTCGTAGTTTTTATATTGCTAATTGGTGGAAGTTTAAAAAAAAAAAATGCTGCAGCGCCAGTGGAAATCGAATATCGTAGTTGTGGTGTGAACAGAAATAATGCCTGGGGTGAATGTTTGGTGACATTGGTTATTATTAATGGCCACTTGTTGGGAGCTAAAAATCTTCAGTCTCATTGGGATGACAAAATGTCCAATGTTGGTAGTTATTGGAAGCAAAAAATGCCCAGGGTCATTGGTAAGTGGGACAAAAAAAATGCCTGGCATTTGTGTCTGCCAAAGAAAGGAATGCTTTGACATCAGTCAATGGGGGGAAAAATTGTAGAGACAGGCACTCGTGTCAGTGGTGTGGGAAAAATAAGTACATTAGGCCCCCATACACATCATGTGGATTTTGGGGTTAAAGCCATTGGGCTGTAGATGAGAACCAATTGTCTAGTAGGGGAAAATGATACACTATGAAAGGGGGATTTAAACTATGAAGGCAGACGTTGATGGTGTCAGTAAATGTCTTGTTAATGTTCTGTCAGCCTCACTGGGGGTAGGAGTTCAGAGCCTTCTTATAGTTTGGTTAGTGGTGGTTTTAGTTTACTTTCCTTTTTTTTTTTTGCTGAGTAATAAAAGCCTCCGAGGAATTTTAGTAAATGATTATACTGGAAATAGCCCTTTATATCTAGCAGTGGTGTAGAGTACCAGGGCTCTCCCACCTAAAGCAAACGTGTCCTGTCCCTAAGATTTATGATGTAGCGGGCACCGGCTTCAGGGGGCCTTTCTGCTATATATGTAGGTATCAACTTTGTGAAATGTAAAAAGCAAAGACTATTTCACAAAGCTGGTAGTTGCATAGGTATTTGTACTGGTAGAGCCAATCTAGCAAAACCTGCTGGTCACTGATATTGAATGATGATAATCGATTTATGGCGCTGTTGGATCACAACAGGTTTGACTGCTTTAAAACGGTTCTAAATAAGGAACGTCATGCCCATCTTAGTGTTTGAGTGTGTTTTTTTTTTTTTTTTGTGGGTTTGTTTGGGTTTTTTTTTTGGGGGGGGGGGGGTATTTTTTTGTTTTCTGCAATATATTACATTTGTTTTTGTATTCTGCCTCAGCAACATATTTACTGACGCGTTTCGAGGACTTGCCTCTTCCTCAGAGCCCAGGCAAGTTCTCGAAACGTGTCAGCCTATTGGATGTCTACACTCCCCATTGTGGACTGTTACTCAGCGCGGTGTTGACCCAGCTGTTCTTTTATGATGTGCCTTGACTTTATTCTCGTTTGTGAGTACAACACCTGTTTTATTTCTTATTAAACATTTTTTATGGTAATGCACTAGGCCTGTGCGCCCTCTCTTTGTTCTTTCCTCATTCGGTATATTTGGATTCCCCCAGTCCATTTGAGGGCAGCAAGGTGTGCATATTCCAGGACATTCTTAAAGTGGTTGTAGCCTGCATCGAGTCCATCCCCAAGCGCAGGAGCATTTGTGTTTGCTGGTTCACAAGAGAATGTAAATCGGGACAGTTGGCAAGTATTTGGCAGCTGCTTTGGGCCCCACAGCAATGACTGGGCCCAGAGCAGCTGCCCCTTGTGCCCCTCTTTAAAGATGGCCCTGGAGAGAACTG